GCACTGTGCTAGGTGTTTTGCAAAACTATAACTCATGACAACTTACCTTTATGGGTAGGCATTATTATCCCTATTTTACAGATGAGAAGACCAAGTTTCAAATCTTCATAGTCACAAAGTTAGAAAGGGGTAGATCTGGAATTCTTCCTGAAATTGGTTCTTTCCCAAAAGGTATACTCTTCCCAATATCATATATTCTTGCAATCACCTGATGAATCTTTAATCAAAATATTGAGGTAAATTCCCCAAGACAGAGCCTGGTCTCTTCCGTAAGCCCTTCATTAGTCAGCTGGAGGAAAAGAGGCCTGAGGAGTGTAGCCACCGGGGGAGTGTGCAGTTGTGGATTACAGGTGGGTTTGAGCAGTCCAGCTCTAGATACATGATGGGACCAGTTGGGGACCTTTGACATGGTCTGGTTCAAAGTGAGATGAAAAACAGATGAGAAGAGAAAGTTGTTTGAAAGAAAAAAGTCAAATTACGAAACTGTGATCTTATTTATAGTTGTATGAATATACATATATATTAAATTTTATATATCTATGTATTAGGTTTTTCAAATAGAAGATTCCAAAGATTTTAAGATACCTGTTGTTTTATGTACCACTAAGAAAAAAATGCTTCTAATTTAAGACATCTTTGATTGTAAGAGACTTCCTTAACATTTCAGAGATGTTAAGATGTGGGGGGAAAAAAGTGCACTGCATTTTTTGGAAAAGATCTGAAAAGTTGTGCATGAAGGTTTTATAGTGGTGATCTCTGGAAATCAGAGTATGATTTGTCTTTAATTATTGCTTGTCTCGATGTGCAAATGTCCGACAATGCCTCTCTCTCCCTTCTCCACTGGTCACACCGTTCTTGAAGACTAGAGATAAGTGATCCCACCCCTGGCAGAACCAGTCATATAATCTGTTGGCATGTCATGCTAGGGGTCAAGCCTGGGTTTTAGGATCTCGGAGTATTAGGTCCCCTTGTATTGTTCTTAGCAACTGAGGCCTTTGCTAAAACTCCGGGGCAACAGGATAAAACACATTTAAAGCTCTGTTAACTGTGCAGGTGAGTCGGTAATAGGCTAGATACAAGTTTTTGGTAAGTGAATGAGAAACAGTTAATAATAGAGGTGCATAAGAAATAATATTTGTTTTTTTGTGGTAGGTTTAGTAAATGTGCAAAAAGGATTCTTATAAATTTGTTTTATATCTTTAATTTCTACCCTCCAATTAGTATGTATTATTTTGCTGTGCACTTAAAGATAATCATAAATCCAACAGTAATGATGTTAGCTCAGCATTTTTTTCCCCTGAGGCACCAAATGGAGACATCTTGAAGTTTCATGTTAAAAGAGTCCCTGTGGTTATTTTTACCAAGCATCATGAAGAAAATATAATTAAGTAATAAATATTGCAGCTTTAAATTTATTATTAAAGCCAGGGTAAATTTTCAGTTAAGCAATTTTATTGCATTCTTTTATTAAGTCCTGTGATAAGTTTATATTGTCTTGGAAATACTCACTTTTCTTGCTTTGCTTAGTTCTGTAGACAGATTTATTGGTTAATACCTTAGTGTGGGTACACACACATATGCATGCAAGATTATTCATCTATTTAAGAGAAATTCTGTAACTTTTATATATTTGCCAACAATGCAGGATATGGTCACTCATCTGAAATCATAGTTCCTAATCATTTTCACTCATAACTGTCTGCGCTGTTTCAGTCATATGCATGAAGCCATGGCCTAATCCACTGGAGTGCTTGACAGGATGCATTAAAAGTATGTTGATACTATTGGGTGATCTTGTTTCAAGGTTGAAGGAGGCACTTTAATCCAAAGCTCCTCTCTTGATTTGTACTTGCCAACATATTGTTTTCGCTCCTTGTTATGGTATAAGAAAGGGCCTTGGAGTCAGCCTAAGTCTGAGCCCAGCAACTTAGGATGAGCCAGACCCTGAACGCAGGTCCCACAAGTGAGGGTTCCCATCAGGAAGGGTAGGATGGGTGCACTTTGACTTCTCACTTGTATCTGGCTCAGTTTGCTGTGTCATTCAGCCCTGCATGTGGGACTTGAATGAGTCACGGCCAGTTGTAGGTATAGTGAAAGCAGGCATATGGTGGTAGCATTTGACAAATACTTTAAGATCTACTGGCTTCCCAAAGATTTCACTTGCCCATTGGAGAAGCACAGTTCCTGCAGTAGAGTCAGACCTGTGGCTGTTACCTCGATTAAAACGTCTACATGTTTTATTGCTTGTAAATGATAATAAAACAACCGTCTTTAGGTGCACAACACTCCTATAGTAAGATCACAAAATTTATCCTTGCTATGTGCATATGTGTGCATATATGTGCTCCATTTTTTTTTGAAACTATACCTAATTTGGGTATGAGCCCTTAGGCTTTGGATAGTGAAGAAGAAAAATAGGTTTAGTCCATTCCAATGCAAAATTTTTAAAGTCCTTTTAAATAATGTTCAATTCCTCAGTGAAATTACCCTGTAGCTCAGATTTCTCCATTGTCAGCTCCTTCTTTCCTGTCCCAGCTAAGGGGATATCTGGTATATGGAAACAGAAAGAGCCCATGTAATGCTGTGTATTTCCCACTGGCTTTCCAGGCAGCTGGGTGCATGACGTCCTTTGATGTTGCTCTTCCCTGCCAGTACTTGTGATCATGACTTCTGTAGCTGGATTTGGGCACAATAGCCCTTCCAAGCTGATTCAGCCTCACCTTGGCGCTCACTGGTGGCAGATTCTCTCCATCTCTTCCATCCAGATTTCTGGCCAGGACCAGTAATGACCAGCCCCTGCCACAGAGGCACCATTATTTGTCTTTCTTTTTTACTTTAGGCAGAATCTATTTTTAATTGTTTTGTCAAATCATAATAAATATGCAAAAGAATATTTACAAAATAAGTTTAAAGTGCAGAAAATACTCATTCACAGAAAGTCGGTGTCCCAGAAGTGGAGCATTACCACTGACCCTATAGAGACTTCTATGGGTTTCCCATTCCCATGTCCACCCAGCCCCAAAGAAAACCATGGTGTTGAATTTTTAATCATAGCCTTGCTTTTCCTTACTATTCTATTCATAAGCAGTATTCTATTTAGTTTTGCATGTTTTTGGACTTCATTTAAGTGGAATTATACTTTACTCTTCTTCTGCAACTTGAGTTTTTCACTCAGTACCTTGTTTCCAAATCTTATCCACGTGGCATGCATAGCTGTAGTTCACTCATCTCGCTGTTACCATCTTCCAGGTGCAAACGCACTGTGATATACTTAGGCATTCTTGTATTCAAGGACCTTTGCATGACTTACAGTGTTTTGCTACCATGAAAGGTATTACTAATGACCTCAGGTACTCATGTATGAGTGTGTCAGGCAGATACATAGGCTTGGAAATCCTAAATTGTTGGGTGTGTGAATGTTCAACTTAACTATATGATGCTGAATTATTTTTCAAGTTATTTGATATCTGTCTTATTCTTGCCATCAGTGTAGGAAAATTCCTGTCTTCCACAGAGACATCAACATTCAGTGATGTCCGACTTCTAACTTTTTGCTAATCCAGTGGCTGTAAAATGATTCATTTGTATTTCCCTTAACATCAGCGAGGATGAGCATGTTTTCTTGGGTTTATTAACCATTGTGATTTCTCCCAATAACAAATCTGTTCAGGTCTTTTGGCCCATGTTTCTATTGGATTATTTCTACTTTTTAAATTGGTGTGTAGGGATTCTTTTTATTCTGGGAATTAATCTTTTCCTAATTATACCTGAAGGAGATATTTTCTTCCAATTAGTGGCTTATCTTTTCATTTTCCATATGGTGTGTTTGATGAAGAGGCATTCATAATCTTATCCATCCTTTCTTTCATGATTTGCCCTTTTCTGTGTCCTATTTAAGAAATCCTTTCCAACCCAGAGGTTCATAACTATAAATTCCTATATTGTCTTCTAAAATGTTTATGATTTAATATCTATGAATGGTATAAAGGAGTCCAATATTATTGTTTTCAACATGGATAACTATTGGTTCCAGGACAGTTTATTAAAAGACCTTCCTTTCCTCACAGGTGCATAAATGCCAGCTCCATCATCACTTAGGTTATAAATGAAGCTTCCACCTCTGTGTGGGCCTCTTTCCTGAGTCCTTCAGAGAACATGTGCATTTGAGTTGTCCAAGTGCTGAGGGTTCTACTAGAGAACCTCTTTATTCTTTTAAGAAGGCATTTCTTTGACATAACAAGTTGGAAGTTGTACTGCTGTTCCAAGGTCAGTCTGTGGCACAGTGATGTCATCCAGAACCCAGGCGCTTCTGCATTTTCCCTCTGCCAGTATCAGCATGTCTGTGCTGGTCCCTTACCGCTGCAGCTGCTCCTGGTTCTGTATCTGCATCTTTCCATATCTGTATCTGAAGTAGAAAAAAGGTCTTAGTACTCTCTCATTGGAGGTCCTTTGGAGCTCCCAGGTAGTGGGCATTCAGGTTACAAGCTCATACAGAGTCCCGGTCGGGATTATGAACTCGGGTTGTGAGCCAGTTTTTGTCCACTCAGTGCTGGGTATCAAGGCAGGCGGTTTGCCTTCAGAGCCCTGCAGACAGCAAAGGTATTTATTCCCAGTTCTGAGGGGGATAGCCCACTGGGGACACGGATTTATGTAAGGATCTCACTTTGAACTCTCCTTAGTGGCCCTGGGCTTTGTCCTCTGCCCCCTGCACCCCTTGGGACAGTGAAATTCCACAGCTGGAATTCATCCAGTGGTAATTGTTGAACAATGGAAACTTGTTTACACCTCTGGCTTCCCGCTTTCACGTAGTTTTTTTGATTTAGTGTTCTTTACTTTCTGGGCAACTTATCACACATTTGCAAAGATGTTTTCCTCTGGAATTTTTTATTGTTTTTCAGTGAGAGGGTCAGTTGGTGTATCTAGTCTTCCATGCTGCGGAAATAAAAGTTGGCTGAACTTGTTTTAAAAGCTGCATTGTGTTTTGCCAATCTTGCCTAAAGGTTTGTTGGCGCGTGAACCACTGCAAGGACGAGATGAAGACACAGTAGCCAGTGCTGACTTCTCCAGCACGCTCTCTGAGGAGGAAAAAGAAGAGTTGAAGGCGGAGTTAGTTCAGGTATGTGTAGCAATCTTCTTACTGCTCTTTTTAGCTCTGGATCTTGAGAGTTACTGGTTTTCTATAAGTCCCATATTACAATTATGCTGTCTTTCATTTAATGAAATTTAACAAATGATACATTGCAGGGTGATTTGTTTTCCCAGTGTATTTTTGTAATGCTAACTGTTCATTACCCATTGGTTATATAGCAAAACAAATGGTTATGCTGCTTAAGCAGCAGTTGTAATTCATTGTAAATATGTACCTCTTATTCTTTTTACTATCATAATATTATGGGAACAACAAATCACACACTTGATGGAATTCCTTCAAGACCTTGGTATCGGCACAAGCTCCATTTTAAGAGCAGTTCTTGTTTTAGGCCAGCAACTTAGCTTAACAAATACTTTGAATAAATTACAAAACAAATTTAATTTTGTAATGAAAGAGTCAGTCATAGAAGCTACTGAATTTATTACTTGTATAGTCTTTTGCAGAAGAATAAAGCTGTAGGGATAGAGACGAAAGCTGTGATGTAAGTACATTGGATCGTGTGTACGTGCTGCGGGCATGTGGGCCTAGAGGTCTGGAGGATGCCCGGCTCATGGTGAATACAGCTGTTCATTCAAGCCTTTTGTTTGTAGCTCCTCCAGCCCTTAAACACTTTGCTGAGGAGGGTTATGTTGTAGAAGGGAAGGGCTGGAGAAACGGAGCTGTCAAGCAGAATAAGCAGTTGGGCAAGGGGGAAGAGGCCCACATTCCTCTCCATTCTTTACTCTTAGCTCACAGGGCAGAAAGCTACTGGTCCAGCTCGAAGCAAGGCTCTGGCCTTTTGCACAGGCTGATGCAGCTTTGAACTCCAGCTTACGCTTACGTACCTTGTCCACTCTGGACTTGCCAAGTTCGCATGTTGACAGTGTGTGTTTATAATAGCTCATAATACTACTAAAGACTTTTCAGGTGCTTTCACAAGACACACCCTGAACTAACTTCATTATGAAATAGAAGAGCAGCTTGTTCTTCTGGTACACTCAGAAACCATTTCAGTTAGCACAGGGCCTCAAATCAAACAGTCTGTTTCTGTAGCTGTGTCCACCGTGGCCACTGAAGCAGAGCTGCCGAGTTTCGTTCAGACTGGCCCCACATAAGAGAGAGCATAAGCCAGAGTTGGCCTTAACAGAGAATGTACAAGCTCCACATTTTAAGGCTCGGAATTCTCGTTCATGACCGGTTCATGTTAGTTGTGGTGTCCAGAATTTATATTCTGCAGACTGGTGTGAGGAAACTGATTCTAGCTATACTTTAATTCCTTCACTGTTGTAATCCAAGCTTGAGTTTAGACACAACCTGTAACAGATTAACTTTTATAAAATGCCTTGGTTATTTCTGGGTTCTCAGGTTACTGGATCACATGTATGTACATATATCAATGTATTTTTTTGTGTATTTTGAATTTTCTAAATGTTCAACAGTGAGAATGCATTACTTTCATAGTTACGGAAATCTTCACTCTAAATGGTTCACCCATGAATATAAAAAAAACCAACAGTGTTTCCAGAAATTCCTTGCTGTAAAATGATTCATTTGTATTTCCCTTAACATCAGCGAGGATGAGCATGTTTTCTTGGGTTTATTAACCATTGTGATTTCTCCCAATAACAAATCTGTTCAGGTCTTTTGGCCCATGTTTCTATTGGATTATTTCTACTTTTTAAATTGGTGTGTAGGGATTCTTTTTATTCTGGGAATTAATCTTTTCCTAATTATACCTGAAGGAGATATTTTCTTCCAATTAGTGGCTTATCTTTTCATTTTCCATATGGTGTGTTTGATGAAGAGGCATTCATAATCTTATCCATCCTTTCTTTCATGATTTGCCCTTTTCTGTGTCCTATTTAAGAAATCCTTTCCAACCCAGAGGTTCATAACTATAAATTCCTATATTGTCTTCTAAAATGTTTATGATTTAATATCTATGAATGGTATAAAGGAGTCCAATATTATTGTTTTCAACATGGATAACTATTGGTTCCAGGACAGTTTATTAAAAGACCTTCCTTTCCTCACAGGTGCATAAATGCCAGCTCCATCATCACTTAGGTTATAAATGAAGCTTCCACCTCTGTGTGGGCCTCTTTCCTGAGTCCTTCAGAGAACATGTGCATTTGAGTTGTCCAAGTGCTGAGGGTTCTACTAGAGAACCTCTTTATTCTTTTAAGAAGGCATTTCTTTGACATAACAAGTTGGAAGTTGTACTGCTGTTCCAAGGTCAGTCTGTGGCACAGTGATGTCATCCAGAACCCAGGCGCTTCTGCATTTTCCCTCTGCCAGTATCAGCATGTCTGTGCTGGTCCCTTACCGCTGCAGCTGCTCCTGGTTCTGTATCTGCATCTTTCCATATCTGTATCTGAAGTAGAAAAAAGGTCTTAGTACTCTCTCATTGGAGGTCCTTTGGAGCTCCCAGGTAGTGGGCATTCAGGTTACAAGCTCATACAGAGTCCCGGTCGGGATTATGAACTCGGGTTGTGAGCCAGTTTTTGTCCACTCAGTGCTGGGTATCAAGGCAGGCGGTTTGCCTTCAGAGCCCTGCAGACAGCAAAGGTATTTATTCCCAGTTCTGAGGGGGATAGCCCACTGGGGACACGGATTTATGTAAGGATCTCACTTTGAACTCTCCTTAGTGGCCCTGGGCTTTGTCCTCTGCCCCCTGCACCCCTTGGGACAGTGAAATTCCACAGCTGGAATTCATCCAGTGGTAATTGTTGAACAATGGAAACTTGTTTACACCTCTGGCTTCCCGCTTTCACGTAGTTTTTTTGATTTAGTGTTCTTTACTTTCTGGGCAACTTATCACACATTTGCAAAGATGTTTTCCTCTGGAATTTTTTATTGTTTTTCAGTGAGAGGGTCAGTTGGTGTATCTAGTCTTCCATGCTGCGGAAATAAAAGTTGGCTGAACTTGTTTTAAAAGCTGCATTGTGTTTTGCCAATCTTGCCTAAAGGTTTGTTGGCGCGTGAACCACTGCAAGGACGAGATGAAGACACAGTAGCCAGTGCTGACTTCTCCAGCACGCTCTCTGAGGAGGAAAAAGAAGAGTTGAAGGCGGAGTTAGTTCAGGTATGTGTAGCAATCTTCTTACTGCTCTTTTTAGCTCTGGATCTTGAGAGTTACTGGTTTTCTATAAGTCCCATATTACAATTATGCTGTCTTTCATTTAATGAAATTTAACAAATGATACATTGCAGGGTGATTTGTTTTCCCAGTGTATTTTTGTAATGCTAACTGTTCATTACCCATTGGTTATATAGCAAAACAAATGGTTATGCTGCTTAAGCAGCAGTTGTAATTCATTGTAAATATGTACCTCTTATTCTTTTTACTATCATAATATTATGGGAACAACAAATCACACACTTGATGGAATTCCTTCAAGACCTTGGTATCGGCACAAGCTCCATTTTAAGAGCAGTTCTTGTTTTAGGCCAGCAACTTAGCTTAACAAATACTTTGAATAAATTACAAAACAAATTTAATTTTGTAATGAAAGAGTCAGTCATAGAAGCTACTGAATTTATTACTTGTATAGTCTTTTGCAGAAGAATAAAGCTGTAGGGATAGAGACGAAAGCTGTGATGTAAGTACATTGGATCGTGTGTACGTGCTGCGGGCATGTGGGCCTAGAGGTCTGGAGGATGCCCGGCTCATGGTGAATACAGCTGTTCATTCAAGCCTTTTGTTTGTAGCTCCTCCAGCCCTTAAACACTTTGCTGAGGAGGGTTATGTTGTAGAAGGGAAGGGCTGGAGAAACGGAGCTGTCAAGCAGAATAAGCAGTTGGGCAAGGGGGAAGAGGCCCACATTCCTCTCCATTCTTTACTCTTAGCTCACAGGGCAGAAAGCTACTGGTCCAGCTCGAAGCAAGGCTCTGGCCTTTTGCACAGGCTGATGCAGCTTTGAACTCCAGCTTACGCTTACGTACCTTGTCCACTCTGGACTTGCCAAGTTCGCATGTTGACAGTGTGTGTTTATAATAGCTCATAATACTACTAAAGACTTTTCAGGTGCTTTCACAAGACACACCCTGAACTAACTTCATTATGAAATAGAAGAGCAGCTTGTTCTTCTGGTACACTCAGAAACCATTTCAGTTAGCACAGGGCCTCAAATCAAACAGTCTGTTTCTGTAGCTGTGTCCACCGTGGCCACTGAAGCAGAGCTGCCGAGTTTCGTTCAGACTGGCCCCACATAAGAGAGAGCATAAGCCAGAGTTGGCCTTAACAGAGAATGTACAAGCTCCACATTTTAAGGCTCGGAATTCTCGTTCATGACCGGTTCATGTTAGTTGTGGTGTCCAGAATTTATATTCTGCAGACTGGTGTGAGGAAACTGATTCTAGCTATACTTTAATTCCTTCACTGTTGTAATCCAAGCTTGAGTTTAGACACAACCTGTAACAGATTAACTTTTATAAAATGCCTTGGTTATTTCTGGGTTCTCAGGTTACTGGATCACATGTATGTACATATATCAATGTATTTTTTTGTGTATTTTGAATTTTCTAAATGTTCAACAGTGAGAATGCATTACTTTCATAGTTACGGAAATCTTCACTCTAAATGGTTCACCCATGAATATAAAAAAAACCAACAGTGTTTCCAGAAATTCCTGCCTCATTTGGCCACATTAATAAAGCTTCCAGTGTGTCTCATTCCTAAGACTTTTTGAACCTGACTGTTGAAAGCAACAGCAAATTCCCTGTTACTGCTCAAGTTACGAGGATTCATGCTTTCATCCCTCAGTATGCATTATCCACCACATTCCCTGTCTCTTATTTCTGGATTCTTCAGAGCTGAATACTGGTATCTTGCCAAAGGCAGCCTCATGCCTTCAGAGGCACATGGACACAGCTGTATTCCCCAGGCCCAGGGGAAAAATAAAGGAAGTGTATCTTCGCTGTTTTCCCTCATCACATTTATATTTCTTCTCCCCCCACCTCAGGCCACCTCTGCTTTAGGCTTA